ATGGCACTTCAAAAAGTGTGTGAAAAAGAAAATCAAGTAAGTTTATTTGAAAAATAATAATTTTATAGGATGCATTTCCCATGAACTTTTGAAGATTCTTGATACTCCCATTCCATATAACATAAGACAGGCAGACCTGTAAACACCATCTTCACTACCTAAGCACAAAGCACAGACTAACTCAGCACAGAAGGACGTACCCAGACACCAGCGCCGACCACCCGGCTCAGTTATCACACCCATTCAACAAACACTGTTCCCAAGTTTCTTTTTGGTTTTTCTAACTGCCAAATCTATCTTCCTCAAAGGTCAAAGCTCCAACTTCTAATAATGGTCAAAGGCATTTAAATGTGTTGCAAGTTCTGAAAAGATGTGACAGCTGGCAGATACCTGAGAAGATGTGCACACAAAAGGGGCATGTAATTTATAACCATGAGATAACATAGTAAGAATCACTGGTGAGATGTACAATTGACAATTTCATAGATAATTTGACAGATTTTATAGTTATGCATAGTCACCATGTAACCCACTTATTCCTATGTATAAAAGAACTGCCAAAGTCTATATACGAACACAGAGTTTTGTAAAATGTTCACACAACTTTATTTGTAACTGCCTGAAATAAAACCAAAACAAATACTCAATAGCTGATGACTACAGGAATAAAATGGGATATATTCATATAACAAAATACTCAGGAACAGAGTAACTATTCATACATACAGATGAATGTTAGCGTCATCAAACTCAGCAACGAGGACACCTGCTGCACGGTACCATGTATGTAAAACCCTGCGAAATAAAAACTCACCTACAGTGACAAAATGAGTTTACCACTTGCTCAAAGCAGGGGATCTTGCAAAAAAAAAAATTGATAAAACAGGAAGACAAAAACTTTTCAGAATCAATCATATTGATTATGGTGATGGTATCAAAGCCTTCAATAAATGTCAAAATTGATTAAACTGAGCACTTTAAATGTAAGTGGTGTATTACTTCAGTTATATCTCAATGAAGTTATAAACAGCAAGGAAACTTGCTTGCACATCCTGACGGTACTATTCCAAGGAATTTTAAAAACATCACTGTCTTAAAACATCCTAAGTATTCTTTTACATTAAAAAGGGGCTTTTACATTAAGGTATTATGTATGGGGGCCAGAAGCTGAAGCCAAGTGGCTCAAGTCCTCACTCTGAACACACCAGGATCCCACTGGTTCTGATCCTGGCAGCCTGGAGGCTCCAGGCTCCTGGCTTCGGATTGGCTTGGCTCCGACTGCTGTGGCCACTTGGAGAATGAATCAGTGGACAGAGATCTTCCTCTCTGTCTCTCCTCCTCTCTATATATCTGACTTTCCAAGAAAAATAAATAAAAGCGTAAAAAAAATATATTCTGTATAAATAAATCATTTTAAGCATTTAACCATTTTTCAATCATTTTAAGCATTTAATTAGAAACTGTAAAATAATAAGAAATGTCTTAAATATTAAAAAAAAAACTTGATATACAGGTTGTACAGTAGTTATAATAAGCAGCAACATTTTCTACATCTTACAAGAATTTTTCAATCTTCAGCACTATACCAAGAAAAAGTTGATGATGATTTGTAAACAACTACAAAAAAACAAAAAATACCCCCCCACACACCAAACGAACAAAAAGAAAACCTGTGAAATTTCCATCCCTGTTTAAAAGAATCACTTCTGATCTTTCACTCTCAGAAATGTCGACCACAGAACAAAAGAAACATAGGATCCTAGGTGGCCATAAAGCCAATTCCAAACTGGATGCTTTCATAAATACTATTTGACATTTGCATCCCATCAATACCAACATCCAATATGCAGAATCTTGGCTACGTGTACAAGGTTTACAATAACTGATGGTATTAATTAAAAATTAATGAAAATCACTCAATACTATACTTCCAAAGTTAACTGAAACATACATATTTTAGGAAATAAAAATCTGTTAACTTAGGAATAGCAAACTGCAAAACAAATTGAGTAAAATTGCTTCTCACATACTGCCAACCAGCCATTAATCAGTTTTGTCTAAACTCAATCAGCTTAGTTTTCTCCTGACAGTCCTGAGCAGGAAGGATAATGACCTAAACTAGCCATGTAAACCTCCACATGCAAGGACACTTTTCTTGGGAGTGACCACTGAACTCCAAGCACTGTGCCCACTGATCCACTCAAGAAACTAGGATATTCATTATTGATAAGACAATCTTCAGCAAACAGGACAATTAAAAAGCAAATTATTCATAAGCGTAAGTCACAGCTACCCAGAGACTCTATGGAGTTTTATGACAAAACTGGAAACACACCTAGAGTGGGACCAAAAAGCAATCAACACCACCACCACCAACACCACCATACACACAGACACACTAAGTATGTATTTCAACTCACACAAAGACTGCCAACTCATATAATTAAAGACAAAATAATTTAGCAATTCTTTATCTTTTGGGATGTTTTTCTGAAGAAATAAAGACATGGTTGTATATAACTACAAAAATACTCAGCATCTCATTTTTAAAAATTAAATAATTTCAACAATCAAATATTGAAAAATGAATACACACATTATAATGGAATACTATGTAACCACTAAAGATAGTGTTACCAAAATTTAACAGCTAATATATACAATTCGGATTACTGAGGTCCTAAAATGTTACAAAATATATTTAAGTTTTTAAAAGCAATGATTTGGAAAAAGCATCAATCTACACAATGAAAAGCTTCATCTAAGAATATATAAAATGTCATCCATGGTTACATAACTAAGTGGTGGGAACAATCAGTTCTTAATCTTTCAAAAAGACACATACTGTGAAATAAGGTGAAACAAAATAGCTTGGAGCTTCCTTAAGACTTATTCCAGTAATAACAGATTCTTACTTGTTACTTCCCTTTCCTTTCCCTTTTCTTCTTTTTATTTTAAAGATTTATTTTTTATTGTAAAGTCAGATTTACAGGGAGAAGGAGAGACAGAGAGAAAGGTCTTCCATCCATTGATTCACTCCCCAAGTAGCCACAACAGCCAGAGCTGAGCCCCTCCAAACCTAGCAGCCAGGAGCTTCTACCTCGTCTCCCACACAGGCGCAGGGTCCCAAGGACTTGGGCTGTCCTGTGCTTTGCCATGCCACAGCAGGGAGCTGGAAGGAAAGTGGGATCCTCGCGCAGCAAAGCGAGGACTTTAGCCACTAGGCTGCTGTGCAGGACCTCCTACTTGTTTCTTATTCCTAATACAAAATGAGTGATTTTCTCTTTCCAGCAACCTAAATAACACCAAATATTCCTTTGGAAATTTGAAATCTTTGTATCCTTCAAGTATTCTTTAAACATACAACAAGAAAAAAAAAAAAAAACCCTCCAGACTAACTATTCACAGTTTCTGAAGACAACTACACATTGAAAACCCTAACTATTGGGGTCACCAGTACCAGTGATGCTAGCACATTGCATGAGTTTTGGTTCGAGCCCAGGGTGCTCCAGTTCCTTGCTCACGCACTTGGGTTAGCAACAGAGCATGGCCAAGTGCTTGGGTCCCTGCACCCAGTCACGTGGAAGAAGTCCTTGCTTCCTGTTTCTGAACCAGCCAATTTGGGGAGTGAATCAATGAAAAAGATCTTTTTCTCTCTTATTGCTTCCTAACTCTGCCTTTTAAAGTTTTTTAAAAAGGAAAACTATGGGGCCCGGTGGCATGGCCTAGCGGCTAAAGCCCTCACCTTGAACGTGCCGGGATCCCATATGGGCGCCGGTTCTAATCCCGGCTGCTCCACTTTCCATCCAGCTCCCTGCTTGTGCCCTGGGAAAGCAGTCGAGGACGCCCCAAAGTCTTGCGACCCTGCACCCGTGTGGGAGACCCAAAAGAAGTTCCTGGCTCCTGGCTTCAGATAGGCATAGCATCGGCCGTTGCGCTCACTTGGGGAGTGAATCACCAGACGGAAGATCTTCCTCTCTGTCTGTCTCTCCTCTCTGTATATCTGACTTTCCAATAAGTAAATAAATCTTAAAAAAAAAAAAAAAAGGAAAACTATCCACTCAAACATACACATGCATTTATTCTTTGCTTTCCCCTATTTTTAAAATCAGTTATTTTCCATTAAAGACTGCTGAGGAAAACAGCTAGTATTTCTTTTGTTATTATAAAAATTAATATTCTATGCTTTTCTTAATATTTAAGTGTCAAACTTTTAATACTTCCAAATTTCCCTGCATATGCATGTATTGCATATATTTGTGTCACATTTCAAAGGAAGTACTACATGTTTTCATTTTTTGTGTATGCTTGGAGCATTTCTGTAAAAAAAAAAAAAAAAAAAAAAAAAAAATCCCCCGTGAGTCTACTACCTGAATTCTCGGTATTCTAATCTATACTTTATACTTAGTCATGAAAATTCACAAATATTTCTGAGTAAAAACTGCTTTTCACATTATTTGTCAAAAATAGAAATGAAACAAAACTTCCACTATTGAGAGTTTTTCTAATAACTCCATCAAAGGGTTCTTCTGTTTGTTTGCTTTTAAGATGTATTTATTTTTACTGGAAAGTCAGATTTACAGAGAGAGAAGAGGAGACAGAGAGAAAGATCTTTTGTGTGCTGATTAACTTCCCTAAGTGCTCAACAGCCAGAGATGAGCCAATCCAAAGCCAGTAGCCTCTTTCGGGTCTCCCACGCAGGTGCAGGGTCCCAAGGCTTTGGGCCATCCTTGACTGCTTTCCTAGGCCACAAACAGGGAGCTGGATGGGATGCAGGGCCGCCAGGATTAGAACTGGCACCCATATGGGATCCTGGTGCAAAGGCGAGGACTTTAGCCACTTAGGCTACTAGGCCAGGCACAAGGGTATTTGTTATGGTACAGTTACAATCTCCAAACTACAAGTAAAAAATCAAAGTGGTGACATAACCAAAAATAAGTGTAAATTAAATATACTGAATATTAAAATTAATACTCAGAAATTTTTGTAAATATACTCACAGAAAGATAGCTATTGATGTCCACATTGTCAGTAATGGTTTGGCGCTCTCCTTTATGGTTAATTTTCCGAAACCTTCTTCGAGATTGTCTGGCAGGAATTTCTCTTTGTAGAAAACTATCTTCATTGTCTTTAGAATTCTCTACCTGTAATACATGTTCACATTTCTGATTAAACATGGAAAATTTCCATGTTCACAGCAGCCTTCACAAGATCACAAGGAAGCACCTCATGGAAGCAGTCTATGGAACAGTGCTTTTGAGTTCAAAAGTTAAAAGTGAGGTTATTAAATATATGTAGGCTACAGTTTCCTTCCAGGAAATAGTCCTTCTTGCACACACATAAACATGCACATTCTCAGTAAAGTCACTTTAGAAAAGTGAAAGTTATTAATTACACATACAGATATAACTTCTGAGTTAGCCTCAATACAAACTGCCAGCTTATACACATATTATACTCAGCAAACCATCATGGTTGTGATTCCAAGGAACTGTCAGAAACTAAAACAAAATATTCTATGTATTATTATCTGATGTTCATCTTAAAGCAAGACTAAAGATTTTAACTTCCAAGGGATAAATCAGATTGTCTACTTCAAATGAAAGTTCATTATTATATGATTCACAGATATTTAAATATCTATCACTTATGGGGAAAAATCAGAAATTTAAATAATAAACACTTCTTAAGATCGAAATTTCCTTAAATTGAGGAAAGCATCTTTTATACCTCAAAATATTGGGAAAAGTATCAAATGCAAAGAAAAACCTTTGGTTCTCACTTTAGAAGTATACAGGATTAAATGCTCTTAAAAATTCCAACTAAACATAAATCACATGTACTTAAATCTTTATATGTTTAAATGTTATATTAAAAACATCTAATTTGGGCCCGGCGTGGTGGTGCAAGTGGTTAAGGTCCTCGCCTTGCACGCCAGGGATCCCATATGGGTGCCGGTTCTATCCCGGCAGCCCTGCTTCCCTTCCAGCTCCCTGCCTGTGGCCTGGGAGAGCAGTTGAGGACAGCCCAAAGCTTTGGGACCCTCCACCGCGTGGGAGACCCAGAAGAGGCTCCTGGCTTCGGATCGACATAGCATCGACCGTTGCGCTCACTTGGGGAGTGAATCATCGGACGGAAGATCTTCCTCTCTGTCTCTCCTCTCTGTATATCTGCCTTTCCAATAAAAAAATAAAATAAATCTTTTTTTAAAAATCTAATTTGCATCAAAAATGCAGAATTTTTAAAAATTTGGCAAATGTATAACTGAAATAGCAGGAAAAGAAATCTCAAAGCCAGAAACATGAACAAAAGGAAGACACAAAACCCCTACACAACTGGACCATTCTTGCCCCAACTCCAGAGTCCAGACCTTCCACTTTGATGGTTACAGAGCATATGAGAGATGACGCAGAGAATCTGCCAAAGTCAAGGAATGCAGGAGCACAGCTACTCAGGATGCCCCCCCCCCCAAACGGATACATCCTCACTGTAAGGGTTGAGCAAGGTGGAAGCTAAAGATTGTGGGAAGAAAGCTTGCAGGATAGAGGAGGGTGGGTTAGGGGGGTATACTACAAAGACAAAATAACAAAAAAACCTTTCCCATGAGATCTCAAAACCACCAGCAACCCTCATGCAAATCTGTATCTGTACTCATAACACCTAAAGAAGTTCTAGGTACTAAAAAATTTCAGGACCCACAACGTTCAAAAACCAGTGGCAGAAACAAATGTGGAACTTGGCAAGAATGAAACTTAAACTAAAAAGTGCTGTCATTCTGAAGTTCCAAGGTGTATAAACTCACAAAACACACAAAAACCCCAACCACAGCAAAATTTCATCATGAGGAAGAAAAACAGAAAAAACTTACACTTGCAAATACACAAATATATTCGAACTAACAGTGAAAATATATCCATCCTCCAGAAAGAATTAAAACCAGAGGACACTTTGAAAAGGAGCTAAAGAGCAACCACGCACTGACCAGAACAGCAAAGCCCAAGTGCCCTCTTACTCACCAGCAGGTTAGGGTAGAGACTGCCACAGCCGTCTGCAGGTGGAGAGCAGATGAGAACATGAGGACAGACCTAATCTGAAGCACAAGCACAAAGGAAGAGCCTGAAACTCAGAGTGCAGCAGGAACACTGAGAAAAATCTTGCAGCAAACCTAAAGACAAGGTGACATGAGAGCATCTGAAACCACTGGTGCTTGGCTGGCACTACAATGCAGCAGGTACTATTGCCGCTGGGGATGCAGGCATCCCATAGGAGGACCAATACATGTCCTAGTTATTTGACTCCCAATCCATCTTCTAACTAACAGCCAGGAAAAGCAGCGCAATATGGATCAAGTAAGTGTTTGAGTCCCTGCCCCACGAGGAAGACGTGGAGGATCCTGGGGACAGCCTGGCCACTAGGGCCATCTGGGAAGGTTAATGAGCCTACGGAAATGTGCACACTAGCTCCTGTCTTTCTTGTTCTGTAAGTGACTTTCAAGTAAACAAATATTTTTCAAAAAGAAGAAACCACTGATGCACTAAAGACAAATCACACCATCAAAAACATCCAAACTGAACTCCTGTTGTGGTCATTTCCAGGTCTCAATCTTTACTCGCACACACAACACCTTACATGAAACTCAAAATTACAACCATAACCCAAAAATCAAATGGTATATAAAAATAAACACTGCCAAGAAAAAAACCAATTTATGAAATGTAGAGATGATTCAGATGCTAGAACTACCAGAGAAAACTTAAGATGTCTACACTGAATGTTAAAGGCTTTAGGAAAAAAGCCAGTACACATGGACAGGAGGAGAATTTCAGTAGACATAAGAAAACATTATAGAAAAAATTGAAAATACGTCAACAGCAATGAAAAATGCCTTTGGCAAGCTTATAATATATTTTTTCTTAATTTATTTATTTTTACTTGAAAGGCAGGGATTCACACAGAGAAGGTCAGAGAGAATCCTCTCCCATCTGCTGGTTCATTTCCCAAACGTCTCGGAGCTGAGCTGATCCCAAGCTACGAGTCAGGAGCTTCTTTCAGGTATTCCATGTGGGCACAAGGCGCCAAGGACTTGAGCCATCTTTTACTGCTTCCCAGGTATTAAGCAAAGAGCTAAACTAGAAGTAGAGCAGCCAAGACTGGAAAGAGTGTCCATATGGCTTGCCAGTGCTGCAGGTTGAGGATTAGCAGCTTTACCACAACACCAGCCCATCATCAGTAGATACGGCATGTTAAGAATGAATGAACTTTAGATTGGATGTCTAGAATAATCGCTAAGGCATCCCATAAGTAAGCACCTCAGTTCAGACACTCATTTTGCTAAGGAATCCAGCTTCCTGCTAATGTCCACCCGGAGATGCATCCTGGAATCAATGTGGGAGATCCAGACTAAGCTTTTGGCTTTGACGTTGCCCAGCCCCAGCTATTTCAGGCATTTGGGGAATAAACCAGCAGATTACAGATCTGTCTGCCCCATTGCTTTTGAAATAAAAAACAAGCAAGCAATCTTAAGTACAGGTCAAGTGAAACAGAAAAACGCAAAGATTAATAAAAGAAATCAAGGAAATAAATACATATTAAGTTGCAGATAAAATGGGAACTAGCAAGTTGGAAAGAAGGATTTAAAAGGATTAGGATGGAATAAAAAAATCTTAACAGATGAAATGAAGAGAAAGCCTAGAGTATATTGAAGACACAGAGAAAAGATCTAGTACACATGGTAAACATGGCTTAGGACGGTGGAAACAGAAAGGTGGAATGAGACCATGTCAATGGCATTTTTTTTGAAAGCCCCAAATAGTCCAATAAACCCCAAGTAGGGTGAGTAAAAACTCCAAAAGCAAATTCACAGAGAAAAGAAAAACAGAAGACTCCTCACGTGAGTGAAACATTAAGTTGTCTAAAAGGAAGGGCAATTAGTCTAACAATAACTTCTCAAAAAAAAAGGTGCTGGAAAAAAACTGAATATATTGATTGTGTTGCACAAACATAGCTTTCCTCCTACAATCTTCTCCATGGCAAGATAACACATTAAGAATTAGGCAAAACATTTTCACATTTTACAGTGAAGAAAAAGAAAGCCAGTTGAGCTATTTACCAGCAAAAGAACTTCCCTAAACAAAAATGTAAAAGCTACATTTCAAATGTAAAATTCCCATTGTCTTAGATAAAAGAACTGAAAGGAAAAAATGTGAAACACAAGGTTAAATATGAACAAAAAGTGCACTAAGCAATACAATAAGCAAACTTTGTTGAGTAAATACACAAAGCTAAAATAGTGGACAAGCTATAGGAAATCCAATTTGGCTACTGGCACTAGTCATACAGTCCTGACTACTTTTCAGCTTCAGATATTTTTCAATCTGGGTGAAGTTCCTGGCTCCTGGCTTCAGCATGACCATTGTGTCCATCTATACAGAGAATTCATGGATAGAAGCTCTCTCTCTCTCTCTTTCCATTGTTATGCAACTTTCTTCTGAGTATTTTTATTTGATCTTTTTTTGAGGCAGAGCAGAAAAGAGGGTCCTCAGCATTGAATATTTAGGATACAACATAACATCAAGCATTTCATTTAGTTATTTTTTTAATCTCCCTTAGTCTATAACTGTGGCTCAAGCATTCTGTATTGCAGAGTATAGGAAACAGAATTTACAGACTGCCTTTCAAGTTGAGGTGGACATCACAACATAGTATGCTAACCAAACACTTGGGACACCCACATTCCACGTCAGAGTGCTTGCTTAGAGTCCTGGCTGCTCATGCTTCTGATCCAGCTTCCTGCACCTGAGAGGCAGCAAATGAGGGTCCAGGTTCCTGGATTCTGGCTTCCACCTGGCCCAGCCCTGGCCACTGCCAGCATTTGAGAAAGTGAACCAGCAGATCAGAGATCTCTTTCTCTCTTGACCTTTCAAATAATAATAATAAAAAAGTCTATGTTAAACAAAGTCTTGGGACCCTGCACCTATGTGGGAGGCTACTGGCTTCAGATCGACTCAGCTCTGGCCACTGCAGCCAGCTGTGGCATGAACGAGCACACAGAGGATCTTCTGGTCTCTTACTAATCTACCTTTCCAATAAAAATAAATCTCCTAAAAAAGTGTTTCAATTTAGTTGGCCTGATATATTCTAATGATTCAACTCAACTATGGATTTCTAACAGCAGCATGTCATAGAAGTGATGTTGATTTTACTCATCAGTGATTATGTGAAGATGGTAGAAATTGTTGTTATGATGGTATCTGTCACATTACAAGTTCAATAATTTTCCCTTTATAAATAATCTGTGAAAAAATATTCAGAGACTACAGAGGTATTCTGTTCCTCAATACACATTTACTAGTCCTTATATAATAAATCTCTAACTTAGTCCTTTGGTATTTATTATCTGGCATTCTAATTTGCTCTTTCCAATTTATTCCTTTATTCCTTCATTTCACTAGAACTCATCCATGGAGATATCATCCATTACTCTAAATGTTTACTTGGATTCCTATATTTTTCAGACTTGGCCTCTCTGTCCTTTAGCTGGATCCTATATGAATACTTTCTCTTTTTGGAGCAGGTGATGAAATTATTTCTAGAGAGAGAACTAAGCTATAAAAGTAAAGTACTGAATCTCACCAAACTGTGTTTGTGCTTATGGTTTTAAGAGTATAACTAGGGTGGGATCTGTGGAGTAAGTAAAGCTGCCGCCTGTAACACTGGCATTCCATGTGGTCACCAATTCAAATCCTGGCTGTTCCACTTCCAATCCAAGGCCCAGCTAATGCCGTGGGACAAACAGTGGAGGCTGGGCCAAGTGTTTGTTCCTTTTCCTCATATGAAGACGTAGACAAAGCTCCTACGTTTAGCCTGACACAGCCAGCGGCTGTATGATTTCTCTGTGTCTCTCTCGCTCTTAACACTTTCAAATAAATACACAAAAGCAAATACTTTGAAAAAGCCAAATGAACTCTACAATTTTACATGGTAAATAAAGCAAATATTAGCATGAAAGTAAACAAAGTCATAAAATTCATAAACATTTTCTACTTTGTTCACCGAGAACTAGAAGCAATGAAACAGATGGTAAAATAAGCACAATGGACATCTAGATCTTGGTTTCTAAATAGCCTTCTAAAATAAAAGTAGGTCTCTTTAGAAGACTAACTACCTTAGGTTTGGTGCAACAATACTGTAAGACGAGATTGTAGCATTTTACAAAGTAGTTTCCTAATTTTTCTTCTTATGCTTTAAATAGGAAAACATGATGAAATATACGCACTAAGTATTAAAATAATGTATTGGAGAAAATTAGGTAACAGACGAATTTTTCCCTTCAGAATGTGAGGTACTCGAACCACCTCAACTGACAAGTCAGTGAGGAAGCCAATCCTGCCTGGGCCTGGGCAAAGCAAGCCAACTCTCTCAAGATGTTCAAATAACAAAGTGTAGTTTCAAACCCAATATTCCAAAATCTCACGGAAAAATTCACTCCACTTCTAAATAAGCAAATCATATCGAGTTACATTGAATTTAATCAGTCTATACTACTTCTAAGAAGGCAATCACAGAACAAAGCAGAAGGGAACTGTTCTCTGATCTTCTAATGCTTAAAACCAACAAAAGCGAGACATCCTGAACTTATACCAGCTACCTGGTTCTCTGAAAAATATAATATTTCCTAAAAATATCTTTTCAAGATATTAAGTAATTAAAAGTGAAAACTGTTAGGATACAGATAATTTCTTACTTGAGTCTAAATTTAAGTTTGTTTTCTCTACCTTGTTTCTCGTAATAAATGACACAAATCATGGATGTTCCAAGTGTAGTTATGAAATCTAACAGGACAGCAGAACACACTTGAAAAATGAGGGCTGCTCTTTAAAAATCTTTAATTTTCTGCTAGAATAAAAGTAATCACTAATCTTGGAATTTTTTTTAATATACGTGTGTGTTTTATTGAAAGATTAGAAAATTTTGACATGAAAACATAAAATATGGTTTTGATGTTACTGAAAAAAAATTTCTAAAAGGTCTTGGTGACGGAATTTCCTGGAAGGTTTAAAGGCTACTGTATTTAAAGCTGAAACAAAAATGTAACAAACAACAATTCATCATTCTTTGAAGTTCTTACCACAATCATTTCTGAAGGCTCTAATACAAGACAATCACATCCTCTTTTTCCTCCAAACTGCTTACCGAAACTACAAAAACAGAAAAATAATTTACTTAGTAAAGATTATGTCAACATAACAAAACTCAAATTTAGGTGTTAACCAAAAATTCTGATTATTACTTAATAAAAAAAATTTAATTTTCCTGATACTACACTACAGATCAACCTAGTTCTATATGAAAATTCCTTTTCAATTTTCTGCATTTAGCCCCCAAGATTAATTATAAAAATTATCTGCCCAGTCTGAACTTTAATACATGTTGAATCACAAGAGAGTGAGCACAATGATTATTCCTACAATATTTGTAGCATATTTTATATTCTTGAGCAGTATTGGATAACAGATTTTTTTTAAGATTTATTTTTATTATTTTTTTATTGGAAAGGCAGATATACAGAGAGGAGAGACAGAGAGGAAGATCTTCCGTCCGATGATTCACTCCCCAAGTGAGCGCAACGGTCGATGCTATGTCGATCCGAAGCCAGGAGCCTCTTCTGGGTCTCCCACGCGGTGGAGGGTCCCAAAGCTTTGGGCTGTCCTCAACTGCTCTCCCAGGCCACAGGCAGGGAGCTGGAAGGGAAGCAGGGCTGCCGGGATAGAACCGGCACCCATATGGGATCCCTGGCGTGCAAGACGAGGACCTTAACCACTTGCGCCACTGTGCCAGGCCCAACAGATTTTTTTTAAAAAGAAATCTCAACATGCTAACATTTGAGTAAAGAAATGTAACTGATACGAACATGATTTCCTTTGAAATACTGGATTCATTGGCTATCTCTTTGGAAAAAGTAAAAAGCAGGATCGATACTAAACTTATTTTTATATTCTTAATCTGAAAAAAACTCCTAAGCAAATCTAAATAAGAAAGCAACTATAAAAAAAAGTAAGCTTTCATTTCAAAAAGATATTTAAAAATGTACCTTCCAATGCTAGAACACAGTACACTAATAATCAATATGAAATATTAAACACAATATTAAAAGAACCTAGAATATCACAACTGAAAACTTAGGATCATGACAAATTAATAAAATACTACTACAAAATAACTAAATTTGGGATGGCAGCCTACTAATATAAAAACAACATAAAAATATATCATCAGTAAATAATAAAGAATTTATAGATAAAATGCCAATTTGCTATTAGACTATACATTAAGGTTTAATTAGGGTAACAAGACATTCTTAACAGCAAGGTTCAACATAAAGTATCATAGAAATAAAGATTCCATTGAAATCTAAACAAAATAACTTTTAAAATATAAGCTAAACATCACTTCTAAGTAAAATTACCCCAAACACACAAAAATTAAAATTCTAAAAGCTATCTTTAATGCAAGCTAAAAAGACAATGACTAAATTTACTTTCTCACCTTAAAAAAATCAGAAAACAACAAACCTAAAGCAACAGGCTCGAGATACTGGAAAGTAGGCTTACAGTCCTATGATCACGGAAATAAAAATACTATCGGCATAGTAGTCCAGTTAAGTACCCATAGGCAATCTCTATGCCACAAGGTCACAGCCAACAGAGCCTGACAAGTCCACTGAGTTGAAGAGAGAGAAAAATCTCTAAAATGGAGGAAAGATGTTTACCATTTACAGGGTAGAGTACCAGAAGGGAGGACAACAGAAAGAAGAGGAAAGAGAACATTCATAAGAGGATGTACACATGTCTGAGGTCTTCACCAAGTCCCTTTGACTCTAAAAAAATCTAGGAGCCAAAGGCAGAAAGAACATCCACTACAGGTAGCATCCTCAGAAATCCAGTACATTCATCTGACACTAAAGAAGTGTTGGGCTTACTCAACCAAATTTCAAGGATAAGGCCCAAAATAATTGAACCACTTTCCAATTAGTTCAGCTACATGTTAGAACAAAGCTCTTCAATGCCTAAAAAACACAAAGGGGCTGGCACTGTGGCTAAAGCCTGCCACTAACAGTGCTGGCATTCCATACAGACTGGGTGGAGTTCCAGCAGCTCCACTTCTGATCTAGCCCAGATGTTTGAATCCCTGCATCCATGCGGAAGCCCTGGAAGAAGCTCAGGACTCTGACCTCACTATCCCTCACTGTTGTGGCCATGTGGGCAATGAGCCGGAAGGGGGATAGCTCTCTTTCCCTCCACTGCTAAAACTGACATACAAACACACACATCTTTTTTAAAAATCCAAGGAAAATTGAATAAGAAGCCTTTTTGCCTGCAGATTATATCTGAAACCCTTTCAGTTTTTTTCATAATAAATAATTTTCATCAACTATTTAAGATTTCTCATATTTCTGAAGGCTTCAGCTTCACCCAACCCTGACTATTGGGGTAATTTGAGGAGTGAGCAATAAACGGTTTATCACTGATCCTATTTTTCTTATAAGTAAAATGAGTTAGTAAAACACAAATTTTCAAAATAAAAAATTTCAGTGGAAATATAATTTAAATGAAACAATTTTGGAAAACAATTCATATAAATTATCTCATTAACTTCTAAGACAGATTAACAAAGCTACAGTATTAAAAATAATGTAGCATCAGAAGACTTGTAACTCAATACAATAGGACAGAGAAAAAGGACCTTCAGAAAAGTACGTCAAAGGGTTTACTGAAATTGACACTGTAAAAAATAAGGTAAACTAATTTCGGCACAAAACAAAAAAAATCAAAATCCACATACTATTTTTTTATAGTGCACATTTTCATTACTTTTTTTATTAATTTGCTTTAATTTCAAAGTCAGTAACAGAGAGAGGAAAAGAGGGGATAAGCAACAGAGACAGAGAGACAGAGCAGGAGGAGGAAGGGCGGGCAAGAGGGAAGGTAATATCTTACATTTGTAGGTTCACTCCCCAGATGACTCCCAAACCTAGTGCTGGGCCAGGCGGAAGTGGGAGCCAGGAGCTTCCTTCAGGTCTCCTGTGTTGCTGCCAGGGGCCATCCTCCACTGCTTTTCCCAGGCTACCAGGGGAAGCCGAACAGAAGTGAAGCAGGTGCACTTCAAAATGGCGCCCATATGGGATGCTGGCCACTAACTTCTTAAAGACTCCTTGTTATAAATGCTTTAAAAAATTTTTTGTGACAAAATACATTTAACCTCTCAATGACATCTTCCATGATTATTATGAAGTACTTGTGTAAATTCAACTATTTTTTGACAATAGTGACAAGGGTAACTAAACAATCATTTATCAATACAGGAGAGGAGGAGAACTGAATATACCATAAATAAAAATTCAAAAATGAATCAAAGAGAAAATTACAGTCATAAAAGTCCTCCACATGATTTTTTACATAATCTATAACAAGGTCAGGAAGTTTCCTTTTACATGTAAATAATTTTATTTGAATAATTTTTTATTTTTGTTGGATTTCCCCCCATGTTTACTGTTAAGGAACATGAGATTTTTACGCATTATCTGTCAACATACTACATTTGCTGATTTACAGATTCAAATCCAACTTGCACTTTCAGGATAACACAACTGAGTTCTAACAATATATCTAACATATCGTGCGACTAAGTCTGTTGCTAACTTAGAGTTTCAGTGTGTATGTTAAAGAGAATAACTGGACATTTTTTTCTTGTGAAATCTTGTTCTGTTACAGGTGACACTAATTCTCAACTCACAAAATTACGTATCTTCACTAATTTCCACATTGTCAACTCACAAAAATTATGTATCTTCACTAATTTCCACAAGTGTGTGCATGTGATATGGAAAAAGCTTCCTTATATTTGACAGTAATCAGGACAAAGACACTTGGGGAGACCTAGGCTTGTCTTTGGATGTTGAGTCTATGTTGGTAACACCACATGTTTTTGCAGGAACTGTCTGACCTGTTGACACAAAGTATGCTCACAGAATTCCCTAGTAGACTTTCGTGCCCTGTAATGGTTTATATCCTTTTCTTTCTCAAGGTCACTTAACTCAAAGTTTACCAATTTGTTGACCTCTTTATCATCAACTTGTCATTACTTTTTTGTTTTGCTTTGCTTTTTTTCCCCACAGTGTTTTTAGTTCTTTCCAGGGATGGAAACTCAATAACTGAACCAAGAGAATTTTTTTCTCACAAACATACTAAAAAATTTCTTCTAATTACTTATTTAGTAGTAGCCCATAAATCTAAATGTATGTTCACTATAATTATGTTCAAAATACTTTAATTTCTGTTCCAAAGTCTCCCTTAATTTATGGGTCATTGAAGAAAACATTATTTATGTTCTAATAATTCTTTCTAAAATTGATTCATAATTCCATCAGGATCAGTAGAAAAGCTTCCAATGTTATAAATTGTCTTAAAATCACATTGTTTATTGCTACCCTGGAAGATGCCCAAACGTGTAGAACAAGCCTTAAGTCTTGAAAAAGAAAATCACCCACCAGATCAAGGTGGTTAGTAACAGCTTTCAACCTTACCCTTACTTTTCAGTCTACTGATTCTATTATTGAGAGAATTTTAAAATCACCAAGTGTAAATCACCAGGTGTAACTGCTCAATTTCCACTGATCCTTCAATCTGGTCTGTTCCTATAACAGACATTTTAGGCTTCCATTGTTAAAACTATAATAAAAACTGCTGTTTCAACTGCATCTATTCTAACACTATGAAATTTTGCTCTTGGATGCTAGCAAAATTTCCTGTCACTCTACTTTGACTTACACAGACCTAGCCACCCCAGCTCTTCTAAAATTACAGCTTGCCTGATTCTTTTATTTTCAGCTCATCTCTACTTTGAAGCCTAAGTCTGTTTCTAACTGGATCTTAGACTGTCAAAGTTTTGTCACTCCGACTTCTGACTGAAATGTTAGACCATGTCATTGTAATGAAATACAGACAAGCCTGGATTATATGTGTGCTTTTCCTGTTTTTACAATTTGTTTTCTTCCTCTACTGCTACTCTCTCATTACTTTTTTGTTTTAAAGATTTATTATTTTTTTAAAGTTTTCTCTCTGTAGACCTGACTTTCCAATAAAGACAAATAAATCTTCATAATATATATATAAATGGGTACTGGTATTATGACATAGTA